TCTTTCACGGAGAGTTGGAAGCGTTCTGGATGAAATGATGGCTACTTGAGCTCAGCAGAAAAAAATGAACTTAAGCCAAGTATGTATAAAACATGGAGTACGCACAGCTTCACACAATCTCCGCCTTATAAATCAGAGACCACCTACAAATGTTCTCGGGTGTTTCTGGATCCCATCCCGCCCTCAACACGCCCACCTGTTGCCATAAATGGTCAATGCATAGTGCCTTGTGGATCTCATGCACATACATAAGCCGGCTCATTGCAGCGCTCCACCATTAACGATGGCGACCGCAGATCAAGGAAGCGCAATTTCACCGAAGCAGAAATGGAGGTGCTTGTGGGTGAGGTGCATGGACGTAATTTTTGGGGGGGGGAGGGGGGGGCAGGGGGAACATGCCCCCCCCCACTTTTTCCAAAGTCAAGTTTTGACCCCTGCACTTTTTACCGTCCAAAAACAACATTACTTTATATTAAATTGACACTGGTTGAGATCTAGGACCAAGCAGAAAACAACTGTTTATGTTGAAGCCTGTTTCCCATTAGAACATACTGTAAAGATACCCCCCCCCCCCCCCACACACACACACTTCTAAAGCGAAAATTACGCCCATGGTGAGGTGGAGAAATGAAAGGAGGTGCTTTTGTGTGGCGATATAGGAAAAGCTTAAGGGGAATTCAACAACGCCACATAGGGAATTGCACCCTAAGACTTAACACCGTACGCCATTCGTACAAGAAGGTTCAAAAACTAGGGGTCCATTCTCCAAGTCTATCATCAGCTTAAAAACAAATAAAATAAGAGTCTGATTAAAACAGATCTAACATTGTTAAAACACAGTTGGAGCTTACCGGACCGGAACAGTGGGCATCCACCACCACCGGGACACCCGTGAAACACTGAACACACGGAAGACGAATCTAAACAAAACCCCACCGATAATGAAACGGCACACAAGTGGAACAGGGTGCCACACCCGCCGGCAGTCTCCACCTGGAAACAGAAAGGACACCCAATTAAATACCATATAAATAAACAGAAATAAAAGCACGTTATCCACTAGTGGTGTGCATCTCTACCTGCCTCACGATTCCATCCGATTCCGATTATCTGCCTAAAGATTCGATTTGAGTCTGAAATGCATCACGATTCTTCACACAAAAATGTTCATTACTTAATAAAAGCAGTAGAATAGTTTTCAATTTGATTTCGAAATCCCTGAAAAACAGAACATTCATCTATTCACTATAGTGAGCAATAATGTTTAAAGTGTGCTGCCTATAATTACTTAAATAATATAAGAAATAATGTTTTCGGTAGAGCAGCTTCAAGATAGAATATTACTGAACTTAAACATAGTAAACAAATACTGTGTTAAGTGATTCTTTCACATCCAGGATCCCAAAACCCAAATTAGCCCAGACATCCGATTTAAATGTAACGGGTACATCTTTGATTACTGGTGATGTTGGCCCTGTATCCCTGTCCGCCTTTTCTGTTTTAAATTGGCGCTAGGGCAACGCAGCGTGCATGTCATTGCAACTCTGCCCCCAGAAGTAATTATAAAACCTCAAAACTTTATTGTCCTGCATAGACATGGACATAGACATAGACATAGACATAGACATAGACATAGGGAGAGAATCTCATTATGTCACGTTGCTGCATCGATGCGGAATCATGCACGGCTGAATCGCAATGCATCTTATAATCGATCATTTTTCCCACCTCTATTATCCACCCCACTCCACCCAATTGTAGTCAGTGTCGCAGGCCTTTAGATTGGAGACGTGCAGTTCAGTTTCACCATTCTCCACCGATGGTCCGCTCACAGGCCTACCAAGCCACTCAACAGAAGACGTCAGGCAGGAACACCGGACCAGACTCCCACTCCAACCCGCCGTCCGGGTCTCGGTCACCACGGAGCTCCTCTGGTTGCCCCGACTCCAGCAGGTCGACACTGTAAGCACGCTGCTCCAAGCAAATAATCAAAAAAACAAGAAGAGCAAAGCAACTCCAAACGCGTCACAGCACAGCCAGGCAAAACAGCGGCGCTCTGGTAACAACAGCATCTAATCACTGCCTGCGACTGCCTCCTTCCAGTAATTAGGAAGAAAATCGTTAAGACTCATTTTCCTAACTGGGGAGCAAAGCATGCACCAGCTAAATACCAATCAGGCAGTTCCTTCAACAGCAACGTGTGTGCTTTAGCTTGTTAGCTGGTGTTTGGCCAGCTCTACTCCAGATGAATGAACCAGAGGGACCCACGACAGGATAATCTGCTGGACAAGATGAGGGGGCGTGCCCTTTAGTTAACAGCGTTATACCACTGCTGAACATCATTGGCCCTTTATCGGCGTACAGCCAGCTGGTAACTGGTTACCAACGCTGACTGACAACACCTTCCATTAATCAGGACAGAAAACACTCCCACTATATTTGCTAAACAAATAACAGAAAATCATCAGAGCGGCACAGCGTTGCTGAAGCCGTCAATGCTGTGAGTTCTTCAGAGAGATCTGTGGCGGACGTAAAAAAAAAAAAAGGTCCGACCTGAAGGTGGAGGCAAAAAAAAAAAGACGTTTTGCCAGTGCCAGAGTGTGTCTGGCACTGGCGGAGGCCCTGGCACCTCTGACCCCTCACCGCTCGCCGTTAGGTTCTCTGCAGTACTCGGACCGGCGAGCGTGCGTGGCGTCGTGCCGGAGAAGGAGGGAGATACTGACCATGCAGAGGGGACTGGTAACCTTTAAGCCTTTATTAATACAGATCAAATGTGTCCGTCATTAAAATATAAAATGATAAATAACCCGCACTTGTATAGCGCCTGTCAGAGTAAGGACTCCAAAGCGCTTTACACTACAGTGTATCATTCATCCATTCACACACTCATTCACACACTGATGGGGATGAGCTACGATGTAGCCACAGCTGCCCTGGGGCGCGCTGACAGAGGCAAGGCTGCCGAGCACAGGCAAGGCTGCCGAGCACAGGCGCCACCGGTCCCTCCGACCACCACCAGCAGGCAACGTGGGTGAAGTGTCTTGCCCAAGGACACAACAGCAGAATTCTCTGTCCGGTGCCGGGATCGAACCTGCAACATTCTGGACAACCCGCTCAACCGGTTGAGCTGCTGCTGCCCATAAAACGAAACCAAATCTCCTTGTGACTCTGGACGAAGCGTCCAACGAGGCATCCCGGGCGGCGACCGAAGATGTCGCTACAGGGTCGGCCTGTCCCACCAGGGCGCCTCGGGCGCATGGCGCACCTGGAAGTGGCCGCGTGCTAACTGACGCTGTCCTGCAGGCACAGAGGGATGCGATTGGTGGGGTGAACGAAGTGCGAGAAGACCTGCACAGGATATGTGACGTCCTGACTGAAGTTTCAGGAACGTGAAGAATTGGCAAGAAAATAAAAGATGTAAATCATGCCTTCTGTGTTGGTTCTACAAATGACGCATGACACTCTGTCACGATCTGGCCCCCTGCTGATATTCTGCATGTCAGGGCGGGGGCTGCGCTTCAGGCTGTGCCTGTGTGTGTGTGTGTGTGTGTGTGTGTGTGTGTGTGTGTGTGTGTGTGTGTGTGTGTGTGTGTGTGTGTGTGTGTGTGTGTATGGGGGGGGGGTACAAGTGGTAATGCTGCAGGATTTCATAATTGTATCTTCTCAGCAGCAGCACTGCAGGTGCTCTCCATGTCCAAATTGTGTGTAAGCCAGGTTCTTAGTCAACTTAAAGTTGCACACATTTTTCCGCTGAGTTTTCTTTCATAAATCCCAAAGTTTACAGTTTCCCGACCCCGTTTTGAGGGTAAGCAAGCTTTATAAAGGAGGCCCCTGCTTGTGACAAACAGAACTTGCACCATGCACGTGACTTTTAAGACAACCACTGATGATTGGGCAATGGCAACTGGAGGTGGAGCTCAAGTCGCCATTTTGCTGCAGGCAGGTGCCCCTCACTTCTGTGTCGGCTTCATATTCACCCCAGAATTATGGAGGACGAGCAGGAACGAGGGTTAATTGATTGAAGGGAATTTGATTATTATGGGATGTGTTCAGGATCTCCAGGAAGGGAAAACTTGTTAACAAGCAAGAATCCTAAATAATTATGGTAAAGTTGTTTATTACTGCTGGAACATTCTGGAGCTTCAGTAAATGCGAGCTGGTTTTGTTAGTAAAACATTTAACTGGCGATGAATTTCCAGTCATTAGTTCAGAGGGCTTACGACGTTACGCAGAACTTGAGACAGTTCTCCACACCTTCATCTCCTCACGCTTAGACTACTGTAACTCTCTTTTCACGGGTCTGAGCAGAACCTCCCTGAACCGTCTACAGGTGGTTCAGAACGCCTGTGCTCGGCTTCTGACCAAGTCCTCCAAACACACCCACATCACCCCGCTTCTCCTCCAGCTTCACTGGCTGCCAGTCAACTTCAGGGTTCATTTCAAGATCCTGGTTCTGGTCTATAGGGCCTTACATGGACAAGCACCATCTTACATTGGTGATCTTCTTAGTCCCTACACCCCCAGCAGGTCCCTGAGGTCCAGTGATCAAAGCCTACTGGTTGTGCAGCACCAGGCTAAAGGTCAAAGGTCAGATCATCTGCTGCTGTGACCCCAGACTCTGGACCTCTCTCCCCCTGAGCCTGAGATCAGTGGACTCAGTGGTCTCCTTTAAAAAGCAGCTGAAGACTCACTTGTTCAAGCTGGCTTTTGTATGACCTTCTTCACCTCTCTCTCTTTATTCTGCTCTCCCCACCTATTCCACCTTCCTCAGGATCCACTGATGTCCCTCTTTCCTGTTCACTCTCTCTCTTTCTTAACATTTTAATCACAATTGTCTATTTTTGCTCATTTTAAATATATTTTTAAACATTTTCTAAATGCTTTTTATATTTTTACATTTTTTGTTTTTGTGAAGCGCCTCGTGATATTTATCTTGAGCGGCGCTATAGAAATGATATTTTCTTCTTCTTCTACGTACCGTACGTAAGGTACGTACGTTATGCACGTAGTTTACGTAACGTACGCAGCATCCAGAGATACAAACAGAAGACAATGGCTGATGTTTCTCTGTGTCTCACCAACGTGAGCGTGTCTCTGGGCGGGAACGTGGACGCGGTGGAGGTGGGTGAGCAGCTCCGTCATTTTTAAATCAAAACAAGGTTTTTTTTAGCTGCTATCTGTTGATTTGTGGTACGAAGCGGCAGCCTTGGCAGGATATTACCGGCTACTGTTGGTGATGGAGGAGCTTAGTGGCTCCTTCTGGGATAACGACTCGTTTGCGATCATGTCCCAGAGACAGAGCCCCCATCCGGCGGAGTTCGAGAGCGTGGAGCTGGAGAAGATGGAGGAGGCCCCGCAGAAGGAGAAGCCCCCCCGCCGGATCATCCACTTCTCCAGCGGTGAGACCATGGAGGAGTACAGCACGGACGAGGAGGAGGGAGAGGAGCCAGAGAGGAGAGACCTGCTGGCCCCTCCACGCGATGCGGTGAGGGTGAGACAGGACGGCGTGTGTGGATGAATGAGTGAGCAATCAGCTGTTTATTCTCCTGTCTTTGTGCTGCAGTCCCAAATGACCTGGGGACCTTATTTCTGGTTCCACGTGTGGAGAGCAGCCACGTCCACCATCTCTGGTTTGTAGTTACTTATCTCTGATGGCTTCTCATGCACGGGTAAGGGTTCCTCAGTTAGCACGTTATTAAGCATTAATAAGCAAAGGGTTAGGCGTATTAACTACACACTAAATACAGTTTACTACAATTTCAACAACATTAATTACAAATGAATGCATTTTCACTCACACTTCAGCTGAGAGAAATGAACACCAGGAGGCGCATGGACGTAATTTTGGGGGGACACAGGGGGGACATGTCCCCCCACTTTTTCCAAAGTCAAGTTTTGACCCCTGCACTTTTTACCATCCAAAAACAATATTACGCTATATTAAATTGACACTGGTTGAGCTCTAGGACCAAGTAGAAAAAGACAGTTTGTGTTGAAGCCTGTTTCCCATTAGAACACACTGTAAAGATACCCCCCCTCCCCCCGTGTCCCCCCCACTTCTAAAGTGAAAATTACGTCCATGGGCCCAGGACAACATGTGTAGGTCATACTTATTTTCTCTGGTTTCTCCACAGATTTATTCAAGTTTTCATCATTTATGTGCCCTTGTCATGTTCGGCTCCAGTGTCTGGGTGTTTTTAGACGAGAGGTCTTAGTTTTTGCTGAGCAACTGTGAGTTTTAAGAATATTCGGCTGATATTTGTCTTTTAAAATTTGGACTTTGCCTCTTCGGCAGCCCCTCAACTAAAGAGCTTTGGGAACAGAACAGCTTGGTGGAATTGCCCTTTGCAAAACAGGAACCAGAAATGGGAGCCAACTAGGGCTGCAGCTATCGAATATTTTTGTAATCGAGTACTCTAATAAATTACTCTTTTGCGTTTTTAAACCATTATAATATCATGTTATAAAATATGAAAGACCTCTTGAAATGAGGAAGCAATTGCCAGTTATTTTTCAAGTTTTATTCAAAATTAGTTTTCTAAACTTCAGCACTTCAACTTTACTTCTCAGTAAACAAATGCCTGTGCAAAAAATAAGTATACAACCTGTGCCGATTTTCCCCTCGTGTGAGAATCTACCAGCACCAGAACCGCTCACGGCGCATGCGCAAACATGGCTCGCCAGCTGTTTCCCTATTAACACACGTTCGTTTTAATTTCTACACTTTTTTTTGTCTCACACTAACAAGGATTGTCGAAAGCATGTTTGCCGTGGTTATGTCAAGTTATACTGATCACAAAACATTTATTTACTTCCTTTCGTTTTCCTCCGCCACTCATAAAAACCGGTGTCCTCCTGCAGCGATCCTGAGGTACAACGGACATCAATAACAACACAGTAAAAAGTCAGACGTGTTGTAAAAACTATTTTTAGCACATTTTAAGTCCGACCTGTTGCTACCAGACGTACGGTGTGAGCTGAAACTGAGTGCTACAAACTAAAAAGTCGCACAGTGTCTGCAGAATATATAGAAATACAGGCTAAAATGCATTATCTTGTAGAGGCTCCGAGTCCGCTTGCAGAAGTGACATTTACACGTGGATGTTTCCTGGTCAGGTTGCAGCATGGAGGATGAGGTGTTGTGATAGGCTACATCCATTTTACAGTATTTACACTGGACTACGTTTTCCGCCTTACGACGTGAAAAATGGTCCCACTCCTTTGACATTTTCTGTCTTTTTCACACTCCACCGGGGTCCACGTTGTCCGCCATGGCTTAAGAGAAAGTTAAGTTGCGTTTGCTACTCGCGTGTGCATTCAGTGCAGCGTGTATGTGCGTCACTTATTTCGGTCCGGGTGAAACATGACCACGGGTGATTGCAAAGCCATGAATTAATGAAACATGAATTAAACGAAGCCTCGAGGCAGAGAATTTGACTCGAGGATTTTTTTGTACTCGAATTATTCGAGGTACTCGAGGAATCGTTTCAGCCCTAGAACCAACTTTAGCTTAGTCATCAATTTGCTAAAAAAAACATTTATGTTTAGCTTTTAAAGACAAACTACTAGACATTTGTTTTTGTGTCTTTTGCAAGTGTTTCCCGTATTTCCATAAATCTAAACCTAAATCAGTCATAATTGGTGAATTTTAAACTTTTGGTGTTTTTATCTTGCAGCTTGTGACTATCTAGGGGAGAGGATGGCCTCACTATTTGGGATAACGTCAGCCAAGTATCAGTACGCCATTGATGAATACTACAGGATCAAGAAAGAGGTATGGAAGAATTTCACTCTTGTTGTTATTTGGTTTTTATTAGATTCACATCGTCTCAAGCTCATGTCCAGGAGCGGAGTGCACCGGCTGGGTGGCGTAACCATGAGTCCGATGTAGATTTGAAAGCTACGCCCAGCTTGTTGTTAGGATGAGTGCACCACTCAGGTGTAAGCTATATTCAGGTGTAACTTTTACACCTGGTCCAGTCTAGCTGGTTGAAGATCTAGCCTGTTTATGAGTGTCTAAACAGCTTATATGTGCAGACAGAGATTCTAACTTAATTCCACAATGCTAAAATCGCTAGAGCCATGCAAAATTACTTTGTGTGTAATAGGGCTGGGGGTAAACGATTATTTTTAAAACGATTATTCTGACGATTATTTTATCGAATAGTCGACTATTCTAATGACTATTTAGAAAATTAATCTAATGATTATTTTTCTATTGCACAATTAACAAAAACCAGAAAATCTCAAATAAATTCCTCAAAAAAATTGATAAATTCTTACTGTAAGAGAATAAACACTACAGGCCTTCCATTTTGTATAACACTGCTTTTATTGTGTTGCGGTTGGTTATGTTCTGGTGACGTGTAGAACTTGGGAGTGCAGGCTGCTGCCTGAGAGGTGGTAGAAGATGGAGTGTCTCCATGCTGCTTGTTCTGGTCACTTATGTGCGTGAGGCGAGTGGTCTTACGGGTTAAACCAAACTCAGGTGATATTTTAAACTAAACCGAAAACCCACAACACTCTAAATGTAATAAAAAGGGAGATCTACACCACAAAAAAGATGAACTCTAAACCAAAACGTAACAGCTTATCCCAACGCAAGAAGCTGTTAGCGAAGATGCTAACAGTAGCTTTACCAACATTAAGTTCAAGTTACCAAGTTTAAATAAACCAAAAACACCCAGCAGCAAACAGACCAGCATGGAGGAGAGACTGCTACCACCAAAACAGCTCTCCTCATGTCTGAAAGAAGCTCCTTAATGAAGGGAGAAACGCTCCCGGTGATTTTCTACATCTGCGATAGACACGAAGCAGCGCGTCTGACCCCGGAAGTTGTTGTCCGTTGCCGGGAGACGAAGGGGCAAAACAGGAAAATAATCTAGTAGTGCACGGACGTTGTTCCGGGTCTTCGGTATTTGGCGGAGATGTTAGTGAAGGCGGAGAAGAGGGCGAACTACAGGAAAAACAGGCAGATTCCTCCTCAATTTACAAACTCCTGGGGATGCAACAAGTGGGCGCGGTGCGTCGACTTCCGGATCTGACGTCGACACATTTTTAGAATCGAGCCGTCGACTTCGTCGAGGCTTCGCTACAGCCCTAGTGTGTAACGGCCCCATTGTTGAATTTTGTAACTTATAAAATGGCTGTAGAATCACAAAGATGACAAGAAATAGTTATAGTGTTATAATAATATAGGATTACATTTATTTGCATAGGACTGAGTACATACAAGTATAAATTATATTATACAATATTAATAAAGTTGATTTGAAAGTCTTAAATGTGGTTAGTATTGACATGAACGTGAACGAAGAACTTAAGGAAGAAAACAACCTTTTCTATCACGATGTGCTTCACAAAACAAAAAAATTTGAAACATAAAAAAGATTTTAACAAACGATTAAAAATTATGTTGAAAATTACAAAAAAAAATTGTGAGGAAAGGGCGAGAGAAAATGAATAAAGAGGGAAATCAGTGGATCCCAGGAAAGGAGGAATAAGTAGAAAGAGCAGAATAAGGAGAGGGAGGTGATGAAGGTCCCACCAAAACCTGAACAGGTGAGTTTAAAGGAGACCACTGAGTCCACTGATCTCAGGCTCAGGGGGAGAGAGGTCCAGAGTCTGGGGGCCACAGTAGCAGATGATCTGTCACCTTTGACCTTTAGCCTGGTGCTGCACAACCAGTAGGCTTTGGTCACTGGACCTCAGGGACCTGTTGGGGGTGTAGGAACTAAGAAGATCACCAATGTATCAGTCAATCAATCAATCAATCAATCAACTTTATTTATATAGCACTTAATCCTACAATACATGCAACTCAAAGTGCTTGACAAATTAAAAAGGCCCCACATACCCATATTCCCTCCCATCCCCAGAATTTTAAAAACAGTCTGACAATAAAGACCCCTTCACAACACTCCTCCACCGACGCACACACACACACACACACACACACACACACACACACACACACACACACACACACATACATGCCCTCTTCCCCATGGTAAAAAAAACACGATTGGCTGAGATCAGATGAGCCGGACCAGCTAAGATAAGGATAAGGAAACGCCATCAGGGGAGCCATCCACCTTGACAGCAGCAGCCGAGGCACTGACACCGGGCGCCCAGGGCAGGGAGGCAGAGACCCCCCCACCACCACCCAGGCACACATGGAAAACACCCAGGCCGCCACAGCTGACCACCACCGCCGGGGCAGAGGGCTCCCACAGGGGACGCACTGGAAAAAGGTTAAATTAATGTTAAAATAGAAAATCCAAATAGCTAAAATGAGAATTTTATTATAAAAAGTTATATAGATATTAAAATAATGTTGATCATAAATCAAGGTAAAAAAAACTTCAAAAGCACGTATAAAGAAAGAATACATAAAATAAATAGATCAAATAAATTAATAAACTAAGTAATGATGGTGCTTGTCCATGTAAGGCCCTATAGACCAGAACCAGAATCTTGAAATGAACCCTGAAGTTGACTGGCAGCCAGTGAAGCTGGAGGAGAAGCGGGGTGATGTGGGTGTGTTTGGAGGACTTGGTCAGAAGCCGAGCACAGGCGTTCTGAACCACCTGTAGACGGTTCAGGGAGGTTCTGCTCAGACACGTGAAAAGAGAGTTACAGTAGTCTAAGCGTGAGGAGATGAAGGTGTGGAGAACTGTCTCAAGTTCAGAGCGGGACAGAATGGGACTCAGCTTAGCAACGTTCCTGAGATGGAAGAAGGAAGAGCCAACAAGAGAACTGACATGAGAATCCAGGGTGAGAGCTGGGTCAAAGGTCACGCCAAGATTCCTGACAGAGGGTTTGGTGTGAGAAGCAAGCTGACCAAGAGAGTCTCTGACTTTGGGAACCAGCTGTCTGGGACACAGATGAGGATCTCAGTCTTATCTTCATTCAGCTGAAGAAAGCTCCCACCATCCAGGTTTTGATAGAGTCTAAGCAGGTGTGTAACAGCTGCAGCTTAGACATCTCATGGGGCTTAAAGGAGATGTACAGTTGGATGTCATCTGCATAAAGATGGTAGGAGATTCCTTTAAAGGAGCTCAGGATGTGCTGAAGAGGAAGCAGATAGAGGAGGAAGAGTAGATGCCCCAGCACAGAGCCTTGTGGGACACCATTGGTAAGGGATGTGGTGGAAGGCCTAAACTTGAAGACGACCACAGAAAAGGAACTCTTAGACAGATTTGGCACCTAATTATTTATACTTTAGCTTTAAATAAAAATAAACACACGGCTCTCACGCCAGTCACAACCTCTGGCATGAGAGTGAGGACCAGCTGGTCCATTCCTGAAGATTCTCCTGCATTCTTACACAGAAGTATGTCACATTCCCATATATCAGCCAACAGAATTCCACCTTTGTGTCCTTGTTCCAGAAAGAGGAGGACAAAGAGGAAAACCGTCTTTCAGAAGAAGCGGAGCGATCTTTTGACGCGCTACAATCTCAGGAACCAGAAGACAAGCTGATCAGCGCTGGAGATGGACGGGAGGTGGGGACCGCCCTCCGCGATGTGACCTGTCAGGTCGAGAACGAGAGCCAGGCATCTCCAAACACCATCATCGTCCCTGTTACTGTGACAGCAACCTAACGCTCTTTAGAAAAGGACATTTCTAATGTATGTCTGTTTGTTAAAGAAGGAAAACGTTCTCGTTTCCCAAAGCTGTTTGGTTTCACGCAGCCTTCCACGGGCAGCAGGGGAGGGTGCTGGGGGTGCAACGGTGTAAGTACCGGATAATGTGGCAACATATTCAGATCAGCATAATGGGAATTAACTGGTGTTTTTTTAGAAACCAGTGTCAGTTGGCCTTCTCCAGTCTTCGGAACAATGAGTATTCCTTTTATCATCCTGGAGCTGCTCAGTTAGATCATGATTATTTGGGTCAAGATTGAAATGATGTGATTTTCCTGAGTTGGGAAACAACTTCCTCAAACAGCGTGGTGCAGCTTGTTCGAATCACAGCAGAAAGGCTAATATTACAGAAATATATTATTTGATCACCAATGGGCTTGGTCTGGGATTATGTAAAGGCTAAAATCTGTGAAGTTCACATTTTAGACGGATTACGTCAGCAGGTGGCTGACTCCAGCTTTTTGTGGTGATCAAGACACGGCTAGATGAAAGGAAGTCTAGCTGCCCAAATCTGGTGACACTTTGTAAAAGCAGAGAGATCACTGGACACCACTCAGCAGGAGATCATGGCTGTCGAACATTGCAGGTCTTAGTTTAGCCTCTGGAACAGACGAGAGTCAACGTATTTTAAGGTTAAAAAAGCAGATGATGAAATAAGTACGGGACTGTCAAAGCAACAACAAGAAAGACCTGTTGCCTTCAAAGATCAGTTTAATGGATTTCTATTAAAAATAAATCATGATTCCTGAAAGGGGTGAACATTAACTGATACGTTTTAAGAAAGTAAAGGCAATAAAAGGCATCTGTTGTCATGGCAGCCTCTAAAAGTTGTTGCTCCCCAGCACCTCCGCAGGACCAGCCTCAGTGCCTACATGTCCCAGTCAGTGCCAGAGGTGGGCGGAGCGTCGCAGCGCCCCACTGAGGCACTCCTGAAACGTTTGGCTGCACCAAAGCGCTGGCTGTTTTAACACCCATGTAGATCTGATTGTGTTGTAAAATGTCTGCTGCTGACTCGTTTTCATCATTAGAAAAGCTAACTGAAGTAAAAGTAAGGGGTGTCGGTGTTCGGCGTTGCTCGTTTTTATCGGCCTTATCTAATAATAAATAAAAAACTGGTCGTAATGAAAGTCTTTGATAATGAGAGGAAGAAATGTAACCGTTAGTTAGTAAAAGAACCGGTAAATTGACATTTTTAACAGTTTTAAGCACGTTTTTGGTTTTTATGTGTTTGTTTTAATAAAGGGGCTGCGCAGTGGTTAGAGCTGTTGCCTTGCAGCGAGAAGGTCCTGGGTTCGATTCCCGGCCTGGGATCTTTCTGCATGGAGTTTGCATGTTCTCCCTGTGCATGCGTGGGTTCTCTCCGGGTTCTCCGGCTTCCTCCCACAGTCCAAAAACATGACTGTTAGGCTGATTGGTCTGTCTGAATTGTCCTTAGGTGTGTGAGTGTGTGTGTGATTGTTTGTCGTGTGTGTCTCTGTGTTGCCCTGCGATGGACTGGCTCTCTGTCCAGGGTGTACCCCGCCTGTTGCCCGGTGACTGCTGGAGATAGGCACCAGCCCCCCCGCGACCCTACATGGACGAAGCGGGTTCAGACGATGGATGGATGTTTTAATAAAGCTAACGATCTGTTCATTAAGCATCTTTATACAGTTTTAATGTTACACTGTTAGGTTATTGTGTAGTTTCTACCTCTGTCTGGATTTTTTTATATTTGAAGACAATTGGAGCTAAAAATAGAACGTTGGTTACGTATCGTAACCCCAGATTCTGTGAGTATAGCTCCGCCTATTGGATTAATTCCATCTTCTTAACCAATCATTGAAGAGCGGAGTTCAGTTCCACTCCCAAGAGCCTCCTAGGCGGGTCCTGGCCCTTAAAAAGGGCACAGCGAGCATAGCTCGTCTCCATAAGTCTCATTGAGCCCACAGAACAATTGGGGCCAAGATGCTTAAAGGGCTACGCTATACTCATAAAATCTGGGGTCACAATACGTAACCAACGTTCTGTTTCATATAGCTCTGCCCTTTAAGTCATCGCCTATTGGATTAAAGGCTGAGCCAGATATAGTCAACGCCACACTGGTTAAGAACTAAACCTAATAAACCTCTAGCACATATGTCAGACTCAAGGCCCGCGGGCCAGATGCGGCCCGCGGAGCACTTTTATGTGGCCCGCGAGATAAATATCAAAAATATATTAAAACTGGCCCGCTGGCCGATTTTACCGCAAAGACTTCAACTCCCATGATGCTTTGCGGCGTCAGCGCGGAGCCGACGAAGCCCCCTCCTTTGTGTTTTTTCAGCGCCTGCTGCCGGTGTCTGCAGCTCCGCTGTCTCGGACAAACTACACTCCTCTCACTCAGCGCCGAGTTCACTCAGCTATTTTCTGACGTTGAAGCCCAGAAACGGAGATTCTAGCCGCTCAGTAACGTGTTCACGACTGAAAGAGAAAGTTTTCCAACTAACGTCCAGACAGAGCTGATATAACTCCAGCGAGCAGCGACACGCTCAAACCAGCACGACTCTGTGGTTGTGTTTCCTCCCCGACACACAACAACGTGGTCAAGCTGCTCAGACATGTTCATCAGCACAAACCTATGTGAGCACCTGTTGTCATCTAATGTTGTCATTATTATGATGAAGATGAACAAAACAACAGGAGTCTCCTCCTCAGCTCAGATCAACCCCATGATGCAGGTATCTGGCTGGAACAGGTGAGCATCACAGTAAACCAGTGGAGCAAACTGAGCTTTAAATATGTTGGTTTTATGCTCTTTTTCTGCTCCAAAACATGAAAGTTAACAGGTGAGATGTTGCATTTTCATTTAAGATAAAATATTTTTATTTTGTTGTTGGCCCGTGAGAAAAGATTAACCTACAGTAAACAGGAAGTGGAAAGGCTGCAGATAGATGAATAGAATAGAAAATCCCTTTATTGTTCCTCAGTGGGGAAAGCTAGACGTCACAGCAGCGATGACACGTATTACAGGAGAAAAAAGGAGAATAAAAAATAAGAAAAATGAATAAACAAGAAAACATAAATCATGAATAGATTTTAAAAATGCTGATTATACCACAAGCAATGAATACCACTGATGCCTTTTATTTAAAACTGACTTGCTCGTGTGTAATTTGGTTATTCCACATTCAGTGTTAATGCAGAAATATGTTTGTTTCCAAATTTAAAGGTTCAAAATTGCATATATGTTGATAAAGAAAATGTGCAAATTTGCCGTCACTTTTTCAAAAATATTAAGTTTGGCCCTCGACTCCGTCCCAGAGTTTCATTTCAGCCCCTTGTGAGTTTGAGTTTGACACCCCTGCTCTACAGCTGTTGATGGGCGTGAACGTGAGAGAACAGCTGGAGGACATATGACAGCATATGACCAGTGTATAGCTGATGAGCATCAACCCCAAGGTTGCCTAGCAACAGGAGGGTGACAAGCTGTCGAAATGAAGAGGAAACAGTGTGACATATTGTGAGGACATGTCATTGAGGGTGTTTAAGAACACAAGGATGACAAAAACGAAACTGCAAAGTTTCTGATCAGAACTTTGAGCGACAGCTGTGATTAAGCTGAGCCGTGCGTTAGCACCACATTAGCGGCGAGGCTGGTGGACACATCTCTGAGGTAAAACGTACAAAGTGAGATGGTGAAGACCATGAAGCAGCCATGCATATGTCTGCTCCAGACATTTCAGCTCACAATGCCACAGAGGAAGAAACCGCCTGATTAGAAAGTGCTTTTAATCTGACTGGAGTGTCCAAGCCAGATGAAGCACTTGTGATGACGTCACACAGCGAATGTGAAAGATGCTGAGATGACAGGTTGCCCTTTGGAACAATCACTGTAGTCAGCAAACAGCTGCTGCGAAGTGCGCAGCTGAGCTGTGCGAAAGACTCGAGTCTGAGCGCACGCACTGGTCACAGCAGGACTGGTGTCAAGCCAGCCTCCAGTTTGTTTTCTGTTCCCCGTCTATTCAAGTTATTACGGGAATGGATGTGGAAACCGGATTTCAAAATAAAATTCAACTTCGAGTGAATTATCAGATATTTTAAGAACATAATAACAAATAGGATGAGGATCAGCACCTCCAAATCTGAGACCATGGTTCTCGACCGGAAAAGGGTGGCTTGCCACCTCCGGGTCGGGGGAGAGGTCCTACCTCAAGTGGAGGAGTTTAAGTATCTCGGGGTCTTGTTCACGAGTGAGGGTAGGAGGGATCGGGAGATCGACAGGCGGATTGGTTCGGCGTCTGCAGTGATGCGGACGCTGAGCCGATCTGTCGTGGTGAAGAGGGAGCTGAGCCAGAAAGCCAGGCTCTCGATTTACCGGTCGATCTACGTCCCAATCCTCACCTATGGTCATGAGCTTTGGGTAATGACCGAAAGAACGAGATCGCGGATACAAGCGGCTGAAATGAGTTTCCTCCGTAGGGTGGCCGGGCTCAGCCTTAGAGATAGGGTGAGGAGCTCGGACATTCGGGAGGGACTCGGAGTAGAACCGCTGCTCCTCCGGATCGAAAGGAGCCAGTTGAGGTGGTTTGGGCATCTGGTCAGGATGCCTCCTGGACGCCTCCCCGGGGAGGTGTTTCGGGCATGTCCTGCCGGCAGAAGGCCCCCGGGTCGACCCAGGACACGTTGGAGAGGTTACATCTCCAATCTGGTCCGGGAACGCCTTGGGGTCCTGCCGGAGGAGCTGGTGGACAAGGCCGGGGAGAGGACGGCCTGGAGCTCCCTAGTTGGGATGCTGCCCCCGCGACCCGGACCCGGATAAGCGGAGGAAGACGAGACGAGACGAGACGAGAATAACAAATAATTTAGGCTTGTTCACTATTAGCGCCCTGTCAATATCAAGGCAATCTTATTTTGGATTTCAAAGTAAAAGCCCTGTGAATTTTCATTTTGGAACTACTCTTTCAATGATTTCAGAATGCTCTTAAAAGCAAAAGTCATATTTCCAAAGAGTAGTTGCATTTTGTATCAACACTATCCAACCACAGCAATTAGAAATTGCGCATATTTGACCGACTCTTTTAACGATTTCAAAATGCTCTAAAATGGAAAATTGCTGTTTCCACAGGGTAATTCCACTTTAGATGAACAGTATAAACCCCACAGTGATACTTTATCAATATCAAGTTATTCTGATGTTGCTTTCAAAAATAAAAGCCCTTTCAAATTGTCCATAATTGACCTACCTTTTAATGTTATCTTGACTGCACCTTTTGGACTTTACAATTTACTCTCCTTTAATTGAGCTGTTCCTTTTTTCTGGGATTTGTTTTCAAAGATAAACAGATTTACCTATCTTACTTTTATGAAAATGGTTCTATTTCATAACATTACAAATACAAAGAAAAGATTGTGTCATTAATATGTAAAGACAAGAAATCCACTTCAGTAAATTTTAATAAATAAAATCTGACTGACTTACATATGGAAACACTGTGTGATTGTATACTATTGATCGAACATGTAGTCATCCTGTGGAAACAGCAAAAATCTATTCAAGAGCATTTTGAAACTGTTAATAGTTAGTCGTATATGAGGGTTTGTATACTGTTGATCTAACGTGGAATTACCCTGTGGAAACAGCAATTTTCCATTTTAGAGCATTTTGAAATCGTTAAAGGTAGGTCAATTATGGACAATTTGAAAGGGCTTTTATTTTCGAAAGCAAAATCAGAATAACTTGATATTGATACAGTATCACTGTGGGGTTGTATACTGTTGATCTAAAGTGGAATTACCTTGTGGAAACAGCAATTTTCCATTTTAAAGCATTTTGAAATCACTGAAAATTTGGTCGTATATGGGCAATTTAAAAAGGCCTTTATTTTGGAAGGCAACATCAGACTGAGTTGAAAATTCACAGGGCTTTTACTTTGAAATCCAAAATAAGATGGCCTTGATATTGACAGGCCGCTAATAGTGAACAAGCCTAAATTATATGTTATTATGTTCTTGAAATATCTGTTAATTCACTCGAAGTTTTCTTTTATTTTGAAATCCGGTTTCCCCATCCCTTCCCGTAATACTTTGACTAGACGGGGAACCGACAATAAACTGGAGGCTGGCTTGACTGCAAGTCTCCAACTGGAGGCTGGCTTGACACAAGTGATAGAAAGCAGTTTAGTCATTTCGTAAAAATTAACCCCTTAGTTGTTAAAACATTTGAATATTCTCAGAACAATGACGATTTACCAACTACTTTCACCCATGTTGAGAAAGTGATTCACAAAAATGGAGATTTGTAAGACGTTAGCTCTTACCGTTCTATTTCTCTACCTAATCCTTTATTAGACAAATTAATCCACATAGAACAAATACGCTTTACCCCCCAATAATTATAGTTATTTGTTTGAATGCATAATTTTGGAGATTATTATACAACTATGATAAATTTATTATATGTATAATATAAAACTTTTGGATATATATATATATATATATATATATATATATGTGTGTGTGTATGTATATATGTAGGACATTGTCAATGGGAAGGGAACAAAGCTCTGGTAGCTTATATAATCCCCCCAAATCAAATTTCAAGAAAGATCAAACAGAAAAATATATATATATATTATCCCTACACTGAGTGTCATTGCCATTTTCCTATAACATGT